ATAATAAATTGCGATTGTTATAAACTAAGTTATAATTATTTTTTTATTTTTGTTTTTTGTTTTCAACTAAATAAAACTTATCATCTGAGTTATTAGAATGTTGTAAATTATATCAAATAATCTATATTGATAAACAGTTAAAAGCTTTTTAAGATAAGCATAAACTTTGATTGATTATAGCCAATGATAAACTAAGATCAAAAATAGAATATATAAGAACATTGATATATGAGTTTTCATTAGTTCTTTTCTTTAAGAAATTCAATTTAGATATGATTCCTTCAAGCAGTATTTTTTTATGTAACCTTAAGAATAAAATCTTATAGAATATTGCTAGAAGTAATGTAGAATTTTCTATGACATCGACACTACTTGTATCTCTAGAATAATACAAACGCTGAAAGCTAAATTACTAACATAGATTCAATCTAAATGTCAAGTGCATGTACAATGAATATCATGCACTCATAATATGGACTCATGCAAGAATAGTATATTGCTAGAAAGAATCAAAACTTATTTTACTGCCCTTATGTTCTATATGCGTGCCAACATGAGATAGGCAAGGAAATAAGAGAGAATAGCAAACGAGCCAATGGTACTTGACGCACACTAAGTGGCTGACTTCCTGTATGCCGTCCGGCGCAAGCTCATACACACACACATATATATCTTTATATATATTGATATATGTTCATTAACTTACAGGGAGTACGATTGAGTTTGAGTAAACGTTGATAGCGTTCATCAAGTTGACGATTGATTGACTGATAATTATGAAAACGATAGTTGTTTGCCATGATATATTGAACTGAGAGCAACAATATACTATCTGTCGAGAATGTTTATCAAAAAATGTTATTTTTAATGTGTGTGTGTATGTGTTGATATTCATTTTTTTTAAATGTAACTTGTTCTATTCTTAGTCATTAATGGAATTTACGATTATTCATCGAATTTTGTTGTCTATTATGTTATCGAGCTCGACTAATGAGAGACATTTCGATGACGACTACGTGACAACATATACATATAGAAAGAAGAGAGAGTGCAGGGAAAAAAACAAAAATATTCTTCATTGAAATATGGCATCTATAAATCGTGTGTGCACCGAGTTACAAGTGGTTCATAGAATATCTATTAATGAAAAGCTACCTATTCATCTTATTCAAATTTGATGTATACATACAAATAATAGGGGAGGAAAAAAGCAAGTGACATTCTTTCATATTATTATTACATGATAGAAATATATTGAAAATTTTTACCTTGCCATGGCGAATCTTTGAGATCGTCCATAATAACTTGAATAGGTGGTGGCCCTTGTGTTTGTTGATGATTTTCACGTTTAATTGATCCATGTGTTTGTACAAGATGTCCTTTCATACGTTGTAAAATTGATTCATGTGGTGAATCTTCATTTCCATCTGGTGTTGTATCATCTTTATTCGAACGATTATCATTTGTTTCATTACCATTGACTTTGGATTCTTTTGTTTTACTACCCAATTTTGATACAATTTTATCGAATTTTTTTGCTAAGCTATGACTCATTGTAAATGATTATGTAAAAGATACTCGCTTTATGTCTTTACTATTAATGATAGACGAATAAAAATCAAAATAAGTAATGTTGTTTAACTACCACCTATACATATGTAAAGATTGTTTTGAGTAGTCGTATCTTTTCGTCAATCTGTCATAAATAATAAAAATACTAATAAAAGCAAATGCATGGGAAAAATAAAAAGAAAAAAAAATGAGTACGAAATGAATAGGTGTGAATCAGAGCAATGCTTTAGTGACACAGTAGTGATCGTGATAATGTTTATGAGCGCAAGATAAAAAGAGTGATAGGAAAATGAGTATAGAAGAAAACAGACAGGCAAAAAAAAGAAACATCTTTCTCTATATTCCCCGGGGCTACTAAGCAGCTTTTAGTCTTTCTTCTTTTTCTCTTTTTCTCATCTACGTTGTTGATGCCTGGCTATATCCTTTTTTATCGCCAAGAGGCTAGTAAGCCATCCATTTACCACTATCGCTTCGTCAGTCGTTCATCTATCATCATTGGGCAATAAGAAAAGCGTCTATGTGAATTTTAACTTAATAACAATAAGACGGATGACATCGGCGCTGACAATGCCCGAATGCTCACATTATGAGCACATGGCGTTAAGATAGTTATTTTTTTTTAGCTTTAGAACAAATATTTTTCTTATCATGAATCCTAAACCTAAATTCTACGTACGTAGAAGAGAATCAATGTTTTTTTTCATAATGTTTTCTGAAGATTAAGAAGATTCTGTATTGATTAAAAATAGAATGCTATTATTTGCTCTGAAACTCTTTAATATAATCTATTTTTGACATGATTGAAACGAATTAATAAGCCTTTTTTTGTTATAAAATATAAAGTCATTCGAAAAGAACAAAACAATTATGAAAGATCTTATATGTTCCATTATTTCTTTATTCTGTTCTCTTTTTTTTCTTTCTTTTTCTTCTTCTTCCGGTTCTCTATCAATTTGTAAATACTAGCAATATAGTGGCAAACAAAAAACAACTGAAACGATAACTAAAGGTAGTATTAAGTCTATTTGACATCAATTATACGGTTTTTACTGTCACAATCTATGATAAGAAAATAAAATCAAATTAAAAAGAAAATTTGTCTAATGTGAAAATGCTATTTTAAGCATCTATGAAAGATTATCATTTGTTATTTGGAACTTTTTATTTTTTTTCTATTTTAATTGCATGTTTTAAAGCTCGAGAGAATTGTTTGATTTATTTTTATTCTTAAATGAAAGGTTTCATAATTAATCATATATATTGATTCACATGCAAACATTATTACAAAATGACTAAAGTTGATAATTGATCAACACATCAATTTATTTTATAGGTTATAACACGAATAAGAAGAAATACAAGTAATATAGAAACACATACTCTGTGCTTTTGTTGTGCTTGAATAAATTTACTGTAACTTGTTGAATATAACAATGACAGAGTACTGGTTAACGCACACATATACACATAAGAGATGATGTTAATTATTTTTTTTCCTCATGCTTCTATCCATCGTACTCACTCATAATAGCAACTGGCAACTAGAAAGACATGACCTTTGGAAACAAGCTGTGTTTAAATATGACGTCAAACTTGTGTTGTTACCGTCTGCGTTTTCATGTTTTTCTTTATGCTCTGTTTCTCTTTTGACATATTCATTTAAAACTTATTGTCAAAATTTATTGGTTCAATTTATTCATTTTTTTTTGTTTGACTTTTAACAATGACAGATGAGAAAAATACGCGCAAAAAAGAAAATAATAAAACGGAAAACGACTAGCTTCTTCGTTTGACAGAAATAATTTCTTCAAAATTTAATAAAAATCTAATTTCCGTTTATCTTTCAATAGTTCTTGTCGGAAACCGCGATCCATCATGTTCTCATAATAACAATAAAAAAAAAAACACGGAACGTTTAATAATATATCAAAACTACAAATGTCAAAAAGGAACCAACAAAACAAGACTTCAAATTCTTATTTTCTTTTTCTTTTTCTTTTTTTTTTTAATTTTTTTTAATAATGTTCGATATGCACAGAAGCATAAATTTTGATCTTGGGCAATAACAAAAAAAACACAAGTTGACACACTCAGATAGAAAAAAAAATGTAACGAAACACTGGAGAAGGCATATACGATTGAAAAACAGAACAAAAAAAATTGACAAAAAAAAAAAACTTCTTTTTTAATATAATACATTGGAAAAAGTCGTCAATAATGATGACGATTTCACTTTTATCACAAGAAAAAAAACCAAAAAAAAAAAAAAAAAGAAAAAACTTGAACAAATCGTATAATCAGTGAAATGAAGAATGAAAAAAAAAATCACAGATCTATGGAAAATTTTGTTTTATTGTCAATAAAGCAAGCAAAGAACTGAGTAGTAATAGTAGTAGTTATAATATGTCTAAGTCGCGTGCTTTATTGAAAATTATCAAGATGAAAAATGTTAGAAAAGAAGAAATTAAATATCTCATGCAAGAGTTACAAAAAATCAACATTACATTTATTTATTAATTTTCTCTTATTTCGTTAGACAAAACAAAGAGAAAAACTAACCTTGTTGTGTTTTTTTTTTGTTGTTGTGTTGTTTGGTGTTACTTTATTTTTAGTTATTAAGAAGATAGAAGTCAATAACAAAGAGATTTAAGTTCGATTCAAACGAGGTGGTTGAATTGTGTAAGGTTGATAACGGGCAGAGGCAGAAGAGGCTGCTGCGCCTGATGTGATGTTTCCTGTAGCATTGTTTGTTGTTGTTCTAGTAGCTACACCTGCACGGTAAAGAAGAGAAAAGAGCAGACAAAAGCAGTGAGATATTATATTTATATATAAATATATACAACAAATTTAAAGAAATCAGTTTACGTTTGTCAGTCAGTTCTACAGCGTTTACAAACAGAAGAAATCATATAAAAAAAACCTAATGCTCAAAAACGAAATAAGAGAAATTAAGCGTATATTGCCACATGCCTTTTTTTCTTCATTCATCACTGAATCAACGACATCAATGAGCCTAGAAGGAGAGAGAATTGCATTCTATAGAGCTGCTCTCACCCATATCTAAACTGACTATCTATCTAAAGAAGCACGCCACCTGCTGTTATTGCCGTAAGAAAATTATATTCTGATTAACTACATTAACTTAGTTGTTTTTTTTAAGTAATGATTTAGTTAGAGAGTGCATTAAAGTGTTTTGTTTCAAAAAAAAAGCAAGACTGTGTATGTGGTATGTGTTTGTTGATTTGTTTTTTTTTTAATTATTGTTTTTCGATTTGTTTGGTTGTTGTTTTTTTTCATAGTGAGATATAAAGAGAGATCATGCGTTAAAGCAAAGTTTAGAAAAAGTAAAAAAAGAAAGTAAGAAAGAAAGAAAGAAAAGAAAAAGACAAATAGTATGGAAAGGATTATCATTCTAGCTTTTGACATTATTAGGAATTTTTTGATACATAGACTGATTGTGTGAATGCTGATGTTGTTGAAAATTCTGAAGATGCTGCTGCTGATGCTGATGCTGATGATGATAATGATGCCTGTCATGGCAATAACAGCAAGTGCGTGATGTCGGCCGAAAAGCGGACGACAAGAGGTATAATGAGTTAAATTTGATACCTGCTGGTGTTGTGGCTGTAGGAGCGGTCAAAAATGGAAAAGCTAAAGAGAGCAGAAAATAATAATAAACTTCTATGAACATTTAACATAAAAAAAAACAAAAGTATTTACCTGCTTGACTTGGATCAATATGTGTTGGATATTCAAATAAATGTGTACCACCTGCAATCATTCCACCCATTTGATCAAGTGTTTGTAATGGTGCAAATACTTGAACAAAATTTTGTTCACCATTTGCTGATGTTGTTTGAATAAGTGAAGCTTGTTGAACAGTAGCTAATGTTGGTTGTGTTTGAGTAGTTGTTGTAGTAAACATAGCTGGTGCAGCACCTGATTGAATTTGTGCTGCTAAAAGATTTTGTTGCATACGTGGTGTTAAAATTAATGGTGCACCTATTGGCATTCGATTATTTGGAAATTGTAATTGTTGTAATTTTTTTTGAAATAAATTTGGTTCACGATATGTTCCATTAATAATAGCTAATTCCATTAATTGTTTCTTTTTTAAATCATCTTCACCTTCAGCCTAAATATTTGAGAAATAATAAGTGATCGAAAAGTTTTTTAGATAAGATATTTGTTTGCTTTTGACTTATTTCCGACGAGTTAAAAGTTATGATTTGGTACTCTTTTTGAAGAAAGCATGACACATACGTTCTGAGTTTCAATGAAAATTAGTTTATATGTAGACAAAGAATATTCATTATCTGATTATAACTATATGACCTTCGAGTCATGAGAACGATATTATTAAATGGTATATTATCCGATAGCATTATCCTCTTTTTATAATAATCATATCAAACAGAAGAAACATGATATTTAGAATTTCAATAAGGATCAGTATTATTTTCAGAAGTTTTTGATGAATTATGAACTCATCATACGTAACATAACATAATTATAGGAAGTGATATGTAATATCTAGGATGTAGGTGCAGCTATCTTCTATAACCATATGCACCCACACTGTAATTATCACATTTCTTTTGTTTATATCACTATTATTAGAACAGAAAATGTCATCGGTTAATATGCCATTTAAAACATCGCAGTAAATCATAGAAACTCATTTAGATATAGTTGGGCACAGATCATTCTTTGTTTACATACTAACTAATTTTTATCGAAGCCCAGTACTTATAGGACATTCTTCAAGGACTTAAAAATTTTGGTCTCAATCTTTATTCGAGATTAGTTAAATAGTCTTTGAAAAGTCGGAAAAGGTTAGTTCCGACAAAGAATTTTTGTAATTTTACGATTGCGATTCGAAATTACTAACAATTGAAAACTTTGTGTATTTGTTAGATTGTAGATTAAAAGTTACTCTATAAAATGCACTATTTGAAGGTTTTTATTGTTCTGTGATAAGCTATTTTTATTATCTTTTTTCTTACATACCCATTTTTCAAACAATCAACAAATGTTTTATGTTGAAAGGTATTCTCAAAAAAATTGCTAGAGTAAAAACTATAACTTAGTTCAATATCACAACTTTTAGAGAGATATCCACTCTACAAGACGATCGATTCCGACAAATTTCAGCGTATTTGAGAAGAAATTTATAGAGTAAACAAGAACCTATTGGCTCATCATATTTTAGGCATTTCAAAAAGTTCCTCTCTAAAAATGCTTTCAAGCAGATTAAAATGAACGGACATGCTCATCGAAAACAGTGGTCCACAAGCATCGTCCAAATTAATTTCTCTAATGAGTGATACACTCCAAGTGACATCTGCTGTTTGAGCTCATATTGAATCCACAGGTAGCTCTCAGAGAGAATAGAAAAAGTCCAAAAAAGTTCATACCAATGGATCTTTTACGGCGAGTGATAATTAGTTAACTAATTTTTGATATATTCTTAGGTACTCTTCGGCGGACTGAATAATGAAGGTTTGATCCAAAATTTTGCCCATTGATAGTTCTAATGACTCCTGAAATATTCCTTTGTTAAGTTATTGAATTTCCAAATAAACTCGATTCCTCTGACAAAGAGCCATTTTTGGAAATTCAATATCTTAATGAAGAAGTATTCTAAAAGTCATTAAACCTCTCTATAGGCCAAAATTGACATCGAAGCTCCATTATTCAGTTTTTCGGACGCTTCCAAAAAATGAATGAAAACCATACTAAACTGATCATAACTCTGTGAGAAAGATCCATGAGAACGATTCCTTTAAACTTTTTACCAGTCTCACTGAGATCTGTCTGTGAATTTAATAGAAGTTTAAACGGTGGGTGCTAGTTGGGATAGTTCCTTCGTAAATTCGCTCATATTTGAAAAGAACACAAAATTCTGACCCTAATTCGCAGCATTTTATTCATCGGAATTTCGTTAAAAGTGCACAAACATCGTCTCTAAAAAATTTCTGATCACCCGCTATATTTCTTTTTTTTGAAATAAGAATACATACGGCTGGTTTTAATAATTTCATAATTTCTTCTTTAGCACGTTCTAATTTAACTAATGCACGATTTTCATGATCCTCACATTGTATTAATACATGAAGATCTTCATCTAAATGTTCCCAATTAGCTTTACCTCGATTTTGATCTTCCTATAATAATTATAATAATTATTTAAAATAAAATAAAAAAATTTATTTTATTTTATTTTATTTTATTTATTACTTTTTGTTTATCTCTCATTGACCCCCGACCTCGAACCATTATTTTACAACCTGTATCGGCTTCAAGTTGTTTTGCAGTCATTCCTCGTGGACCCAATATACGGCCAACGAAATTAAACTAAAAAAAAAAAAGAAAAACGAAATAAAATCATTAAAATACGAAATTGTTTGTTATTTTTAAAAATTAAAACACGATCGAGTAGTGATATGAACACAAATTGGGTTGGAAATTAAATCAATATTTATATATATATGTATATGTATAGATAAATGTATAGTAATTTGATTAGATGATTTTTTTTTTGTTTTTGTTCGACATGCGACACGCACAAACGAACGATGGACGAGAGATAGGTTATTAATATGAAAGAAAACAACAACGAAATGATATGGATTGAGCCAAAAAACATGCAAGACAGAATATGATTATATTAACAAAAAAAAAAATTACCGAACACACCCATGATGATCAACAGAAACTAGAAAGATAATTAAAAGTTGTTGTTGAAAAACTTTTTAGGCAAAAAAATTAATAAATAAGTCAGACATGAGAATTTATTGGATAAAGTTATTTTTAATAATATTAGAGCGCAATTTTAAATATACGCGAAATCAATGGAATAAGTAATTTGTTTATATGTGAATAAATGAGTCGATTGTTGTGTTTCGTTTTTGTTTTACCGTGCATAAGCATATCAAAAGGAGATAAATAGTTAAAAAAAACATATAGACAAAAGGATGTGCTTGTGAATTTTAGACAAAATATATGTGTTGCTGTTTCTGTTTTGTTTTTGTTTTAATTGAAAGAGCAAGAAACTGTTTGGCCCAAATATAATCTTATTTACCGTATGAATATCGACGAACTAGTCAATCTAGAGTATAAAAATTTGCAAACTCTAACAGATTGGAATACTTAATAGAAATGTAAATTATGAAAATTGATATAGCATATCTGAGTTCTGAATGGTGACATCACTATTATATGCTATTGAAATACGTGATTCATGCATCTATTATTATTTGCTGGTAAAGATAGCAAAATATATAGATATTATATCATTATTAGTAGACTAGTATACATTGTTTAATTGAAAACTTACTTCAGGATGTTGTTGCACCGGAATAAATACTTTTTCTTGAAAAATTTTCTTTTCTCCATTCGGTTCAGGTAATTCCATTTTTGGACGCGTACTCAAATTAAATAAATTTACTCGGACTTTATTAATTTCTAAAAATATATTATTCAATTAAATAAAATTAATAAATAAATATACTAGCCTTGATCAAGTAATCGTTCAATATGCATAAACATATTGGGTACTGCAGCTAATTGTCTTTTATCTTTTAATAATTGTGATAAATATTCTGGATTATCCGTTAACGATGGATCTGTTTGAGTTGATGGCGGTGATGATCTATGACAAAAAAAGATTATTTATAATAATAGTAAATTCTATTTTTGAATTTACTTACGATGTTAATGGCGATAAACTTGGTGATGCGGATGTTGGAGCTGGTTGCCCAGTTTGATGAATTGTTAATAATTGTGTAGGTGCTGGAGGCATTAACATAGTTGATTAATATATCGTCAATTAGATTTTATATATCTTTTTAGTTAGTTGTATGTATACCATGCACGTTAAAAAAAATGTTGTTCGCTCACACGGATGACTGAATGAGAGCGAGGCAGGTAACGACAACGAATGAAAGAAGCTAATAGAAGTAAAAAAAAATCACGTCTAATGCGTGTACTACGAACAGAACAAGCGAATCGTTTCGTTGATAGCTGTTGTTGTTGATGTTGTTGTTGATGTTGTTGTTTATAGAACAAGAAACAAGCAACAGAAAGCTAACGAAATGATGAGAAAAAGAGTAAAAGAATGACTGAGCAATGGTGACACATTGTACGGCGAATTTTATTATGTTGATCTCTAATCTGTCTTCCGTTCGTTCGTCGCGATACAAACCAAACGTGGGCAATAGAGTGATACGTCTTTCTCGTTCTTTCCCTTTCTTTCTCTCTCTTTTCCTCTCTTTCTCTCATTCTTCAGTCACACCATGTCCTTCTTTTGTCAAATGCGATCGTCGCCGCTTGTTTCGTACATATGTACAGCCACCAAGACGACGACGATGATGAAAACTACAATCTTCTCCGTTGCTTTTTTTTCGTTTCTGCACATAGATGTATATATATTTGTATGTTCGATTCATTCGTTCACCCTCAGGTGAAAGAAGAAAAAAAAAAAAAGAAAAAGAAAAAGGGTCGCACCTTTGCCACTATGGCAATTAAATTCATGTATATTCTTTTCAACTCTTCTATTCTTCGCTTCAGTAATTTTCTCTCTGTCTCTTTTTACTAAATAGCTCAGACATATACTAGTATATGCAAGAGAGATTTGAAAAGAAAATATTTACAATCGAAAAAAGAAATTTTTAGTGCTTCTCGCTTTCTCTTTCGTTTGTGAATCATATGGTCTTCCTTTCTTTTTCTATTCACTATAATTTTATTCTTACCTTATGTCAACGGAAGAAAGTTTCGAAAGAAGTTTTAATCGAAAGAGAACAAGAAATTTCGACGACTTTGAGTATCAGCAAAAATAACAAAAAAGTTGAATTTATTAAAAAATCGTGTACTTTTCTTGTTCTTCGTCTTATGTTTGATTGAATAGGAGACCCATGGATAAACTTATTTGCCTACACTCAAATTTCATAATAAATAAAATGAAATATAAAAATGGTTGAAGCATTTTTGAAATAATCTTTCACTATTTAATGACATACAATAACAGTGTGAGAGGAGTAAGTAAACAAATCGATAAATATGCAAAAAAAAACAGTTAATCATGCGAATTCAGTAACAAAAACTCAATGGGTGGTGGGAGTTCATTGTTAAAGAAATCTAATCATGATTTACCGTCTCCAATACATGTTGAAGAAGGTGGGCGATAACACTTTGAATGTATAAAATAATGCTTTCATTTAAAACTGTAAAGAAAAAAAAAAGTTCAACTAAACGCTTATTTAACAATGACTATTGACATATACTGGTTTTCTACGTATATATATATATATCACAATTACAAGATCAATAAATTAATTAATAATAAAAACAAAAATACTAATTCAACTATAAATTTTAGTCCTTACTATTTTAACAAAATAATAATTTTATAGGAAAAAAAATTTAAAAATGAAAATTTTAGTTTAGACAAATTCAGTTTATTATGTTGATCATCTATATTTTAGAAAAAGTTACTGAAAAATCTATTCATCAAAATTCTCCAGAAAAAACCGATGAATTTCGTTTAAATCAAATAACTCAACCAATCTATGTTTCCCATGTAAAAACGGGCAGTACATTATGTTCTAATGATCATATATTACTACTCCAAGATGGTTCAACAACAATAGAATTTCGTGGATATCCAAAATTTCAACCAGTACGTATTCCATGGCATAATGGATTAATTCGAGATATGGTTTGGTGTTCTGATCTTAATGTATTTATTCTTTTAACGAAAGATGCCTTGTTTAGTGTCTCGCCAACATCGTTATTTACTGTTGAAACAGCAAAAGATAAACCTTTAGTAGATTTAAAAATCAATATATATCAGAAAGTAAAACCTTTTAATAATAATGTTTCATTTTGGCGATGTACATCTGCTGGTACAACGTTATATATTAGTTATTCTGGTATGTGAATCAAAGAAATACTTCGTAGTTTTAATATATATTGTTTATCTTTGAATATTTCATTTTCAAGAACGATTACTTATTTCAGAATACTCTTTGATACTGCAGATTCTATCATTGCTTTTCTTCTGATAAACTACAAAAAAAAATACAATATTTTCCTCTTAAATATTTCAATTCAGATGCAATCAATATATGAAAATTTAGATTTTTATTTCCTGAAAAAAATCTCAAATTTATGATTAGAAAAACATTTTTTTTTTTTTTTTATTGCTAAATAGGATTTGGTACAGCCATCGATGAGTATTCATTGTCAGCATCTTCATGTAACCTTGTAAATCGTTGGGTACCACCAAAAACATGTGCTATATATGAAGGTATTTGGTGTATTCGTTATCAACAGGAAACAGATGAATTAGGTATTGTCATAATGGATGCAAGAAATAATCAATGGCGTTTAGAAATCCGTAATCGAAAAGATCTTGCATTTTTATGGAAAATAGTATTACCTTTATCAAATGGTGATTGTGAAATATCTCCATTACCCGATAGAGAATGGCTTGCTGTGAATTCATGTGGTATACGTTTAATTCAAATAGCTAATCAAAAACTTAAATCAGGTGTAGAATATCAACGTGAATTAAAAAATGCTATTACAATTGGTAATTTATATTTTGTTGTTCGAACAAAAAGTACTATTGAAATTCATCAAATTAAACGATCAAAATAATATATAAACTCAAAATATTTTTCTTTCATAGATATTACAAATAAAAATGAAATTTTTTAAATTTAGTTGAGTTTTTTATAACTTTATATTTTATTTGTATGATATAAATAAAATTATGAAACCAAGTAAATCAATGATGCATCATGATTAGAGAATATTTTTTGAAAAAGAAGATTTTATTTCATTCGAACTCTTTCATAAAACTTGAATGTTTAGACATCGATAATACTAAAACCAACAAGAGTTTCTTCATAGAATCGATCAAATTAATAGGACAGAGTTTCTAAATAAAATTTTTATTAGAGTTTTTCAGATTCAATTGTTAGTTTTCTGAAAATAATTTCTTTAACATTGACATTATGGGTGGCGAGATACTTAGATTGGTAAGACTCAAAGCTGACTCTGACTTTAATTAAGGCTTCAAAGCTTGATCTCACTCGAATCTGGCACTGTTGACAAGCGAAACCTTGTTTTAGTACATAGATTGAAAGATATTAAATGTTTATCAATACATTGCTATGAAGAAAACTGAAAAAATAGAAATGTTAGTAAAATCTACTTCTTTAGTGAAAACACAGTTCTAATATTCAAAGCTCCAGAAAAAATTAGTTTATTTGTATACTTACTTGAATTTCTATATCTCGTACATTATAGACCATTGCAACATTATGAATCTACGGGAACTGTACAAAATTATCATAGCATTCATTATGTTTAAAATATGATTCAATGTTAATGTATATTTGATCAGACAAAAAATGCTTACTTTTTGGCATCGTAACAAAGCAACTATTTTAGATTATAATTCATAAATGTCATTGAAATGATCCGATGGATCAATTCTTGAATATTTGACAAAAAAAAGCAAATATTCAAATGCTCACTCTCAGAAGTCACTTGCTTCATGTAGTTTGTTACTTGAACTTTGCTCAGTGATCAAGATAATATGTAAAAAGTTTGTTTATGAATAACAACTGAACTTTCTTTGACAAGGGAACGTTTTCAAATGTGACTCGCCAATTGAACTGATATATAGCCCAACAGTAGGTTTAGACGAGACTTGTATATTCTTTAAGGGTTCATTCCATGCGCTGTGTTGCTCAAGTTAATACAGTTTTTCTGAATAATTTATCTCTAGCAAAGTCTATGTGAAGTAATCGAATTAAGAAAGGAGGAACTCATAAGAGGTCAAATAGATCTAGTAGTAATTGTCGTGGTCATTATCATTGAATCATATATCAAACAAAAGAGTATGTTGAGACTAGCATTTCGGTACTGGTTTTCTGAAATCTTGATCGAATTTAGAAGTATAAAATTTGTTCATAAACTAATGTATTTTTAGTCATTAATCTAATAACCTATTATATCACCATGGATTTAATTTGAGAATAGGTTGACAACACAAAATACTACTTAAATTATGAATTAAGCAGCTCTTTGATATGACTGTAATCCCATGTATAAATTGGCGATTGATTATTTAGTATAACAAGGTTTGCATCCGATGTACTGTTATACACTACTAGCATTTTTATTGTCTTTATGATGCACTCTTATCTTTTGAGAAATGTTCTAATTTGATCGTCTGAAATGGTCACAATTTTGGTATTAGTCATTGGATAGATTTTTCAGAAAGCTACAAAATCATATATTTTTCAAAAGTAAAAGAAATCACGCCACTGAGAAAACCTTAATAATATTAGTGTTTGAGCGCAGTTTTGTGTCTTTTTAATTAACCTTTACGAGATTTCGATCAGGAAAAGTTCAACCTGAGTCAACATTAACACATGAAATACAAAGTTAGCATAACAAAGCTAACGAGAGAAGATAACCAGCTGTTTAATGGATTTTGAGTTGAGACTATATGCACTATGTAGACACAAATGAACTATGAATATACTGAAGTGTTCCGATCCTTAACTTATTGCTATAGAAATACTGCACTTTTATCGTATTTTTTTAAATCAATGCCGTGATATCCTTTAAGAACATCAGAAAAAACTGGTTTTCGAAATTCAACTTGAAATTTTATATAGCTGCAAGTTTTTAAAAAAATAGTTTTTTTGAATGTTTCAGATCTTGTCGCTGTTCCTATCTACAGATTCAACAACGGTAATAACGTGTGTTTTACATCACTCACATAAACTAGCAGATTTGATATTCTCATCTCCAGATAGAACCAATTCGAGACGAAATCTTTTATCACCGTCTTCACATGTACAGACCTCAAGATTTGTCTAAAACACATGATTTTCTTTCCATAGACAAGCACTTAAGTGCTTGCATGAGTTATATACATATTTTGCGTCACTCATGCACTAAATGCATACAGATCATAGAAATGAGCAACCTTGGAACAATCAATTAAAATGAAATAAAAGCAAATTTATTTAAGACGAAAGAATGCTTCTCGCAATTCAGGGTGCCTGAGGTTAATTATTCGTGTAGATTTCGTTTTAGGCATCAATATTAAAATATATGTTTTCTAAATTATAAATTTTTTATTAAGAATCGGATCCTTTTTTAACAGAAAGTTGAGAAAGACGAAAAGAAAAGCACGGATACAATATAATTACAATGGATTTGATGAATTAGGAACATTTCCTGTTTGTAATCGAAATGGACTTGTGTTATTAATTTATGCTACTCGTAATGTTTTGTGGTCAATACTTTGTGACAGACATCGCAATAAATACCTACCATACCAAATCTCTTTTTAGTCTTGTTTCTTTTATAGACTTTATATTGAATGGTTAACAGCTAGTGACATTTACATCGAAGAAATGATTGAGTCGTTAGAAAAGAAGATCTTCAGAATTCAAACATATTACACCATACTTGAACAAAGATTCGAGAGCGTTGGTAAGAATGCTACTTGATAAAATTAGGAATTCAAGCGTTTGAGTTCGCAATAAGACCTCAAGTCTTGTCTCCAGATAGGTTCATAGCAGATGACTTTCTTGCTATAGATGCATATGTACTTCATCCATATACCACAAGATGTTTGAGTAGAGAAATTAAAAGACTTGAAACTTCTATAAAAAAAAAACTATTCTTGTTAAGGCCTATTTCTATGAAAATTTTCAAGTCGAAATTCAAAAATAAGTTTTTCTGATGTTTCTAAGGGTGCTACACAGCAATTACTTAAAAAATAACGTAAAATTGTACAGGACGGGTAAAAATTTTTTTCAAGGGGGTCGCGCTGTCATTTCTAAAAGAATTCTTAACAAATTTTACACCAAGTGAAAGTTCGTCGAAAATAGAGTTTATTGGTACTAAATAGTAAATGTTATGAAAACTTTTTAATGTTGAATTTAAGACGTTTTCAGAAATTTTATGCTTTTTTTGGCGTAGAAAAGTAAGATGTCAGTAATTCTAAAACGGAGTAAAATTTGTTTTCTTAGATATTTTTACATGGTTCGATAGAGCTTGTCAAGGTCTACAAAATTGCATATATGAAAAAATTTCTAAGACATCTTTAAGACATGAAAAGTCACAAAACTTCTTCGAAAATCTCAAAAAACGTTGAAAAAAATCCTTTTTTTATATGAAAGAAAAACACTTGTTTTCTAAATAAAATTAGCTTTTTTCATTATTTTTACTTCTCAGACGTTTCGAAATATAGTTATTAGAGGCAGTTTATCACCCTCCATCAAATGGGTACATTGCGAAATCACTGAGATAGTAAAAATAATGAAAAAAACTAATTTTATTAAAAAACAAGTGTTTTTCTTCCATATAAAAAAAGGATTTTTTTCAGCGTTTTTTGAGATTCTCCAAGAAGTTTTTTGTATTTTTTATCTCTAAAAGATGTCTTAAAAATTTTTTCATATATGCAGTTTTGTAGAGCTCGACAAGCTCTATCGAACCATGTAAAAATATCGAAAAAAAAAAACTTTTACTCCTTTTTAAAATTACTGATATCTTACTTTTCTACGCTAAAAAAGCATAAAATTTTGAAAATGTCTTAAATTCGACATTAAAAAGTTTTCATAACCTTTACTATTTAGTACAAATTTGTTAAGAATTCTATTAAAAATGACAGCGTTACCTCCCTTGAAAAATAGTTTTACCCACTCTATAGTATCTGCGTAGCAATAAGCTACGGGTTAGAACTCTTTTCAGGATATTCATAGCTTTTCGAAAGAGAAGTTCCTGTTTCATTCGAACTCTTCATAAAACATTAAAATGTTCAACATCGATAATATTGGAAGCAACAACAGTTTCTTCATTAAATCAATTAAACCAATAGGATATAATTTCCATATAAGATTATCAGTTTTCCTAACCGTCAGTCGTTTTAAATTTTAAACCTGTTCGTGTCTAAGTTTTACATTTCTCAAAACACTTTAAACTTCAGTCATTGTTTTTATGTAATCAAACAAATCCTGCATGATATTTTTTAAAAAGAATTATACGAAAATGCACACATACACACACAGATAATAAACAGAGAAAATGAAGTAATCGAAATACACACATTGACACAAAAAAAGAAAGAGAAAGAAGAAACAATAAACATTTCGTTCATAATAATTACTGTTCGCAATCAAAGTCAAATAATATGTTTACAAAGATACCGTGATAGTTTCATATAAATTTCGTAGGATCAACTCAATGGAACAATAGCCAAGAATATTTTTAAAGAAAACATTTTGAATTTCAGGTGATGAAACTGAACGTAAACTAGTTAATAGAGATTTTAATTGTTCAAAACGTTGAATTTGAAGTGGATATGTACGACGAACATGAGTTTCTAATGCTCTTAGATGATCACCAAATAAACTGTGTCCATTCATATGATTATTATTATTATTTGGATCTACTAAAATACAACAATGAATAATTTGAACGATTTTTAAATCGTATTCGTCGATTTATCTATCTTAAAGGTATGTTGTCTCTTTTGGACTACTTCTGATTTTACACGAGAGTATAATCGATCGGGCTTACATTTATACTACAGTTAGATTATCAAAAATGATGGGACTTATGTTTGG